CTGTATTATATATGTCTTTAACATATAAAAATTAATTGATGTCAAATATATAAGTAGCTACTGAATATTAACGATCAATCGATCGGTCTATGATAATAAGTAAGAATGCTATTATTTTTTTTATTAGATCGATCTATATTGTGTATTTAACATATAAAATCAATTGATGTCAAATATGCAAGTATTTCATTTGGGAAAAAATCATTTATAAATTAATCTACAAAATTAATAGTTTAAAATATACTATAGTCTCATTACATTATACTTGGGAAAAAAAACTGATAATAGGTTATAGATCTTTTATTTATCTTAGTCTCTAAGAAAAGTTTTCATGATATATTTTCAGTATAAAATTTAGATATGGAAAATCCAAATATACTTTTTCATTTTTTTAACTAAAAACAAATGTGTACCAAACATAATATTTCATAGAAATATATATTTCTTAAAATTGAAAAAAACAGAAATAGACAAAAATATCACAATGCACATTAAACCAAAATTAATTATATTTCTCTTTTAATGGTAAAAAAGGCAAAAAAAAAACTAAATTTAGTCATCTACTTATTCAATTAATAGTATATAATGATTCATAACCGTAAATGGGAATCCAATTATACTATGCCACATGGATAAAAATACAAATTATGAAATTAATAATCAAAAATCTCTCTCTATCTTTTCTTCTCTTTTTTCTTGAGTGTGTAGGGTAAATTAAGTCGCTCTCTCACTATATATATCACCATTAACTTCAGTTGCAGCCTCACATTAATCATCACTGCAATTAGCTATCCTCACATCTATTCAACTCTTTCACCTACCCTCTTACGCCTCAAAACCGCTTTCGTAAAACCATCAGCGGTTTTTCGACAGTGGTTTTCTGAGCAAACCCATTGGATACCGATAGAATCTAAGGTTTTCTCCAATTTTTCATCCAACAAAGTATATTTATTATTTTTCTCATTAGTCTCTTAATACATCTTGGATTTTATCCTTTTTTCATTTGATTTTATTTATTGCACCATTCCATTTTTATGGTAAATATAATGAATTAATACCGTCTTTGTTTGTCATACATCAAATGATGAATTAATTTCTTATTTATGTTGCTCTTGGGACTAGATTTTGTTTACATGTTTGTATTAATTTATTTCATTTTCTTCTTGCTTGTAGAAGAGTGAGACAAAGTTGGATAGAGATAGCAAACTAACAAAGAAACAATAAGATAAAAAATATTTGATTTTTCAGTGTTTAGACAGACAAACCGAAAAAAGGTATTACTTGATTCTCTTCGTTATCCTTTTCAGTTTACGTTTATGTACCACGACCACGTTTATATACGTTATATATATATGTGTGTGTATTCACTTAGCAAAAAAAAATATGTGCGTATTTAATGCAAACGCTTATATATATACAACGATGGTGACAAGATTGTGAGGAAAATTAAATGCATCACACAACTTTATATGATATAATGTTGTTGTTGGTCCGTCCGTACATGTACATATGATATCATTCTACCCCCCCCCCCTCTTACAAATTTTGATAATATTTAGTCATTATATTACACAAATTGATAATATTTCTGAAAAGCTAGCAAGATCTATTTTCAGTTCAAGTGCTATTTAAAAAAAAAAAAATTTGAGATCTACTGATTCGTTTAATACAATAACGTTCTAGAAAGAAAAAAATCATCCTTCAAAATGCATGTTTTATAATTTCAATGTAACATTTTTTTTATCAAAAATATATAGTTTAATCCTAGTCAAAGTTAATGACAATAATATTTTTGACTAGGATTCGTATAAACTCAAGGTCACATGTTTTCGTATGGACATAATAATATATTTAATTAAATTATTATTCAAAATAAAATATTTTTTATATAAAAATCAAGATAAACGTTTCACTTTTGTTTTTGTTTTTATATAGGATGTCTATAATCTAGTTATGGTAATTTTATTTGCTATGGGAAAATGAATCCAACACTTCTCTTTTCGTATTTTCTTCCTCTCCGTTTCCTCCTTGTTCTATGTAGATCTCTGTAAATTCATAGGGGATTTTTTTTAATGTTGATCCCTCTGATAATGCTAAATCAGACTCAAAGAGTTTGATCTGCTGGTTAGGGCTTATTTTATACATATTGGGGTTAATTTCATTTGGAATTCATATAAATTTTTTTTTTGTTTGGGGTTATTGTTTGTTAATCTGCTGATTGCTAGTCTTTTGATTCCAACAATCACCACCTCAATTTCATTTTTGTCTGTTTCTCTATTATTTTAAGATCTTGAAGAAAGAAATACAAAAAGAGAAAAGATAAAAGTGGTTGACTTGGAAAATCTAACTTTTTGTTGTAATGAATCTCGTGAGAGAGTGAGTCAAAAGAAAATCCCAATCTTGAAAAAGTTACTTTTTGATTCTTTGTATACTCATGAACAAAAGGAAAACAAAATCCTTTTCTTTACAAACCCTAGTTTCTAGATAGCATGCATGAGTTATAAAATCATACTATCATTTTATATCCTTCTAATTAGAAATCAATTTTATAGTAACTCAGTTTAGTTTTTTTTCAACTCTAAAGATCTCTCAGAAATCCAAAGAGGAAAAAATGTCCCAGCTTATCATGGTACCAGTGGATGCGATAAACAACAATGGAGATGGTGAT